TAAAGTTGGCAGCTAAAACGCACAGGAAAATGACTCTTCTGTCTCGGGATAAACGTCCGGGGTGAAAAAGTTTAACGAAAAAAGATGAGTGAGGACAAAACTAAAAAGTTGGTAAATTTGTTGAACACAAAGATTGATTAAACGTTTATTAAAAGTAAAACGTGAATAGTTTGGCAGGTAGCCAAGTAGCAACAAACAGCACAGCAGCACGGTGTAAAATAGTAGTAACCCTAGGTGTAAAATAGTAAATAATGGCTATTTCTCCGAAAGTTTTAAACTGTCAAGAGGAGTGAAACAAGGTTGTCCACTATCGGCATATCTATTTATTGTGGCCATTGAGATGTTAGCTATTAAAATCAGATCCAATAATAATATCAGAGGATTAGAAATCCAGGGCTTAAAAACAAAGGTGTCATTGTACGCTGATGATTCATGTTTTCTTTTAAATCCACAACTAGAATCCCTCCACAGCCTCATAGATGATCTAGATACATTTTCTAACCTCTCTGGATTACAACCAAATTATGATAAATGTACTATATTACGTATTGGATCACTAAAAATTACAATTTTTACATTACATGTAGTTTACCAATAAAACTTAAAAATAAATAAATGTAAAATGGTCTGATGGTGATGTGGATATACTCGGAATACATATCCCAAAGGAAATAAATGATCTCACTTCAATACATTTTTAATAGAAAGTTAGCAAAAATAGATAAGATCTTACTACCATGGAAAGGAAAATACCTGTCAATTTGTGGAAAAATCACCCTGATTAACTCTTTAGTATTATCCCAGTTTACCTATTTGCTTATGGTCTTGCCTACGCCTAGCGAACAGTTTTTTAAATTATATTAGAAACAAATATTCCATTTTATTTGGAACGGCAAGCCAGACAAAATTAAAAGGGCATATTTATATAATGAATATGAATTCGGAGGACAGAAATTATGAATTATTAAAGCATTAGACCTCTCACTAAAAGCTTCAGTCATACAAAAGTTATACTTAAATCCGAACTGGTTCTCAAGCAAATTAGTAAGATTGTCTCACCCAATGTTCAAGAATGGCCTTTTTCCCTTTATTCAGATTACAACAACTCATTTGCAGTTATTTGAAAAGGAAATCATCTCCCAAATATCACTATTTCTAAAACAAGCCATAGAAAGTTGGTTGCAATTTCAATTTAATCCTCCAGAAACGACAGAACAAATAATGCAACAAATATTGTGGTTAAATTCAAATATACTAATTGACAAAAAACCTTTATTTTTTGACAGAATGTTTAAAAAAGGTATAATCTTTGTAAATTATATCATCGGTAGGACTGGTGGAGTTATGTCGCACATGCAGCTAACAAAAACATATGGAAATGTCTGCTCTACCCAAAATTACAACCAAATAATTGCAGCCTTACCGCAAAAGTGGAAGAGGAAAGTGGAAGGGGGAGAAAGTAAGGAACTTGTCTGTCGGCCTTGCATTAAAGAACATAATTGGTTAAGGAAAACTGTGATAAATAAAAAAGTATATCAGTTTCACTTAAGGACCAAAGGATTGACAGCCGTCTCATATAGATTGCAAAATAGTTGGGAAGAGATCTTTGATGTACCAATCCCATGGCAAATTGTTCATGAACTGACACGCAAAACGACACCGGATTCAAAAATTAGAATCTTTCAATTTAAATTATTATATAAAATTCTTGCTACCAATAGAATGTCATTTATATGGGGGATACAATCTTCCCAGCTCTGCAGATTTTGCTGTGAAGAGACAGAATCATTAGATCATTTGTTTTGGTACTGTCCATTTGTAGCTTGTTTTTGGACACAGGTCCAGGAATGGCTAAAGGATTGCAATATTTACCTGGAGCTAACCTTGCAGATAGCATTACTGGGTGATCTGAAAAGTCATAGTCAATCGATCAATAATATAATAATACTTTTAGCAAAAATGTTTATTTTTAATTCACAATCTGTAGAAGCAATGAGAATAGAAAGGTTCAGAACTTTTGTAAAACATCACAGTACGGTTGAAATATATATGGCAAATAGAAATCCTATATGGATGGTGTTAAGAGATAGATGGGAGGTATTGAATAGAGTTGAAGGATGGGACTAATAACAAATAACAACAAATAATAACAAAGATAGCTAATAATGTAAGCATTCTGTGTCCATAATAAGTATATAGGTTGTATGTTGGGAGCTTTTGGGAAAGAGCACAGTTAGAAAGATATGGCAAACCGGATGGACACCATGAAAATGATCGGAGAGGTTGAGAGTAGAAGTTCAGGAGCAAAAAAAATATAGATATATAATAGAATTATTGTAAAATTAACTGTGTCCATAAGGTGTAGATAGTAAGTATAGACCGGAAGTAGAGGCCTGGGCGTTGTTGTTCACTAATTTACTCCAAGTAGGGAAAGGATGGCGGGGTTGAAAAGTAATAAAGGGGAGTATATATATATAAAAAACATGGGGGATTGGAAGAGATGCAGACAATTACATTGATGGAAGTTACAATCTATCTGCAATATTAAGCTGATCTACCCCCCAAAGAAAAAAAAAGTATATATTATATATATAGCAAATATGGTTCAATTTACAGCTGGCAAAAGTCAGTTATCGCAATAATTTGACTCCGGCACACATAATTTTTTTTGTTTGTATTATCTTTTACCAGATCTAATGTGTTATATTCTCCTACATTAATTTCACATTTCTACAAATTTCTAAGTGTTTCCTTTCCAATGGTATCAAGAATATGCATACAGTGAGGGAAAAAAGTATTTGATCCCCTGCTGATTTTGTACGTTTTCCCACTGACAAAGACATGATCAGACTATAATTTTAATGGTAGGTTTATTTGAACAGTGAGAGACAGAATAACAACAAAAAATCCAGAAAAACGCATGTCAAAAATTTTATAAATTGATTTGCATTTTAATGAGGGAAATAAGTATTTGACCCCTCTGCAAAACATGACTTAGTACTTGGTGGCAAAACCCTTGTTGGCAATCACAGAGGTCAGACGGTTCTTGTAGTTGGCCACCAGGTTTGCACACATCTCAGGAGGGATTTTGTCCCACTCCTCTTTGCAGATCTTCTCCAAGTCATTAAGGTTTCGAGGCTGACGTTTGGCAACTCGAACCTTCAGCTCCCTCCACAGATTTTCTATGGGATTAAGGTCTGGAGACTGGCTAGGCCACTCCAGGACCTTAATGTGCTGCTTCTTGAGCCACTCCTTTGTTGCCTTGGCTGTGTGTTTTGGGTCATTGTCATGCTGGAATACCCATCCACGACCCATTTTCAATGCCCTGGCTGAGGGAAGGATGTTCTCACCCAAGATTTGACGGTACATGGCCCCGTCCATCGTCCCTTTGATGCGGTGAAGTTGTCCTGTCCCCTTAGCAGAAAAACACCCCCAAAGCATAATGTTTCCACCTCCATGTTTGACGGTGGGGATGGTGTTCTTGGGGTCATAGGCAGCATTCCTCCTCCTCCAAACACGGCGAGTTGAGTTGATGCCAAAGAGCTCGATTTTGGTCTCATCTGACCACAGCACTTTCACCCAGTTCTCCTCTGAATCATTCAGATGTTCATTGGCAAACATCAGACGGCCCTGTATATGTGCTTTCTTGAGCAGGGGGACCTTGCGGGCGCTGCAGGATTTCAGTCCATCACGTCGTAGTGTGTTACCAATTGTTTTCTTGGTGACTATGGTCCCAGCTGCCTTGAGATCATTGACCAGGTCCTGCCGTGTATCATTGATGCCCCACGAGGTGAGATCTTGCATGGAGCCCCAGATCGAGGGTGATTGACCGTCATCTTGAACTTCTTCCATTTTCTAATAATAGCGCCAACAGTTGTTGCCTTCTCACCAAGCTGCTTGCCTATTGTCCTTTAGCCCATCCCAGCCTTGTGCAGGTCTACACTTTTATCCCTGATGTCCTTACACAGCTCTCTGGTCTTGGCCATTGTGGAGAGGTTGGAGTCTCTTTGATTGAGTGTGTGGACAGGTGTCTTTTATACAGGTAACGAGTTCAAACAGGTGCAGTTAATACAGGTAATGAGTGGAGAACAGGAGGGCTTCTTAAAGAAAATCTAACTGTCTGTGAGAGCCGGAATTCTTACTGGTTGGTAGGTGATCAAATACTTATGTCATGCAATAAAATGCAAATGAATACTTAAAAATCATACAATGTCATTTTCTGGATTTTTGTTTTAGATTCCGTCTCTCACAGTTGAAGTGTACCTATGATAACAATTACAGACCTCTACATGCTTTGTAAGTAGGAAAACCTGCAAAATCGGCAGTGTATCAAATACTTGTTCTCCCTACTGTGTGTGTATATATATATATATATGTATGTGAAAAATAAACATATGGGGGATTGGAAGTGATGCAGACAATTACATTGATGGAAGTTACAATCTATCTGCAATATTAAAGCTGATCTACCCCCTAAAAATATATATATATCTCAAATATGGTTCAATTTACAGCTGGAAAAAGTTAGCGCAATAATTTGACTCCGGCACATATAAGCAAAACATAGCTGTTTATTTACATTATGACCTAAATGACGCAAAACATTTTTTTTCTTCATAATTCGCTGTATTTTTCAGAAGTCATTCAAGTATTGCTAAATGTTATGTTCGACGGAATGTGGAATTGGATAATCACTCACCGTATTAATTTAAAACAGTTGTAAGTTAAGACAAATATTATTCTCTTGTCGAGTTCAATATCCCTCCAAGAAATCGGACTTCCATTGCGCCGTGCTAATCACATCTTCTTTCACTTTAAGGTTCTCTCCTGCGACATCCGCCAATTAGCTACTACAGTACCGGAAACGTCGCAGGGGTGTTGAGGACTACGCTGCCCTGAACCCGGCGCGGTCTCTGTGGCGGTGCGCGATGCAGCGCCCTCTGCTGGGCAAAACACGTCTCTGCAGATGAATCTGCATGAACCAAAACGTGACCAAGGCATCTTTACAAAACATTTTATTCGTTCACCATGTGGTCATCGATCATATGTGAACTGAAAAGTTGCTGGAGGTGACTTTTCAAAGACTTCCTAGACTCATGTCACAATCACACTCACATTCATTTGAGTAAAAAAATAAAAAAGCAGAAACATTGACATGCATCTTTTGTAGCAATTTATCAGCCGGACGAAACTTTATTGACGAGCTCATTACAAAATGGTCTGATAAGACAAAAAACTAACAAATAATGTACATTACAAAAAAACAAAAAAACTAACAAAAACTTGGTAGCAATCTCGTTTCCCATGAACAGTACTATAGGCATCCAATTTGAAGCGGCACTTTCAAGATCTTTCAATAGGAAGAACACACACAATATTAATATCAACTCAGTCACACTACCATTATCAGACACACTCCTGTCTCTCATGCCTTCACTCTTTATACTCCAGGAAGTGCTGCAGTTTCTTCCGGTGCTCTGCTGACATCTGGACAGCGCTGGAAACCAGAGACACACAAATCAAACAATCAGATCCGTGTTCGCAGGACTAGGACAAGGATAAACATCCAAACTAAGTTTCACATCCACAACTGCAAACACCTATTCTATAAAGTAGTAGATGACCAGACAAAATTCATTGTGGGACCAATACATTATGAAGCAATAAAGGTATGCGATGGAGCAATTGAGTGTTTGGCCTCTACTTGAGTGTTCTCAACTGCCAACCCTACTTTACTATTATCTTCTAGCTCCATCACCCCATATTACAGTATCTTCTAGCTCCATCACCCCATATTACAGTATCTTCTAGCTCCATCACCCCATATTACAGCATCTTCTAGCTCCATCACCCCATATTACAGTATCTTCTAGCTCCATCACCCCCATATTACAGTATCTTCTAGCTCCATCACCCCATATTACAGTATCTTCTAGCTCCATCACCCCATATTACAGTATCTTCTAGCTCCATCACCCCATATTACAGTATCTTCTAGCTCCATCACCCCATATTACAGTATCTTCTAGCTCCCCATTCACCCCCATATTACAGTATCTTCTAGCTCCATCACCCCATATTACAGTATCTTCTAGCTCCATCACCCCATATTACAGTATCTTCTAGCTCCATCACCCCATATTACAGTATCTTCTAGCTCCATCACCCCATATTACAGTATCTTCTAGCTCCATCACCCCATATTACAGTATCTTCTAGCTCCATCACCCCATATTACAGTATCTTCTAGCTCCATCACCCCATATTACAGTATCTTCTAGCTCCATCACCCCATATTACAGTATCTTCTAGCTCCATCACCCCATATTACAGTATCTTCTAGCTCCATCACCCCATATTACAGTATCTTCTAGCTCCATCACCCCATATACAGTATCTTCTAGCTCCATCACCCCATATTACAGTATCTTCTAGCTCCATCACCCCATATTACAGTATCTTCTAGCTCCATCACCCCATATTACAGTATCTTCTAGCTCCATCACCCCATATTACAGTATCTTCTAGCTCCATCACCCCATATTACAGTATCTTCTAGCTCCATCACCCCATATTACAGTATCTTCTAGCTCCATCACCCCATATTACAGTATCTTCTAGCTCCATCACCCCATATTACAGTACTTCTAGCTCCATCACCCCATATTACAGTATCTTCTAGCTCCATCACCCCATATTACAGTATCTTCTAGCTCCATCACCCCATATTACAGTATCTTCTAGCTCCATCACCCCATATTACAGTATCTTCTAGCTCCATCACCCCACATTACAGTATCTTCTAGCTCCATCACCCCATATTACAGTATATTTTAGCTCCATCACCCCATATTACAGTATCTTCTAGCTCCATCACCCCATATTACAGTATCTTCTAGCTCCATCACCCCATATTACAGTATCTTCTAGCTCCATCACCCCATATTACAGTATCTTCTAGCTCCATCACCCCATATTACAGTATCTTCTAGCTCCATCACCCCATATTACAGTATCTTCTAGCTCCATCACCCCATATTACAGTATATTCTAGCTCCATCACCCCATATTACAGTATCTTCTAGCTCCATCACCCCATATTATGACTACATCTGCTATCCTTACTGGAGGTGTTCTCCGAAGGTGGCTGTGATCCTGTAGACAGCGGTCTTGAGGGTGGATCGTAGGGCGAAGCGGAGCGTCTTATAGCTGCCGTCTCCCATACTGCAGGAGGAGTGACCTGGTTTAGAGGAGGTATGGGGTAGCTTGAAGTGACGGTCCACGGCCTGGAGGGAGGAAGAGGGGTGAGGAGAGGGAGGGGTGAGGAGAGGGGTGGGTGAGGAAAGGGAGGGGTTGAGGAGAGGGAGGGGTGAGGAGAGGGAGAGTGCCGGGGTGGGTGAGGAGCGGGAGGGTCGAGGAGAGGGAGGGGTGAGGAGGGGAGGGGTGAGGAAGGGGAGGGTGAGGCGATGGGACGGGTGAGGAGAGGGAGGGGTGATGAGAGGGAGGGGGTGCGGAGGGGGGGGGTGAGGAGAGGGAGGGGTGAGGAGCGGGATGGTGAGGAGAGGGAGGGTGAGGAGCAGGAGGGGGCGAGGCAGGGGGAGGAGGGGGGTGGGCGAGAGAGGGGGGGTGAGGAGGGGGAGGTGAGGAGGGGGAGGGTTGAGGAGGGGAGGAGGGGGGGGGCGGGCAAGAGGGATGGGTGAGGGCGAGGGAGGGTGAGCGAGGGGGGCGGGGTGAGGAGTGGGGGGGGTGAGGAGAGGGAGGGGTGAGGAGAGGGCGTGTGAGGGGGGCGGGGTTAGGTCGTGAGGTGAGGAGAGGGAGGGTTGAGGAGGGGGAGGGGTGCGGAGAGGCGGGGTGCCGGAGATGGCGGGTGAGGGGTGAGGCAGAGGAGGGGTGAGGAGGGGAGGGGTGAGGAGGGTGAGGAGGGGGAGGGCGTGAGGAGCGGAGGGTGGAGGGGTGCGGAGGGGGAGGGGTGAGGAGGGGGGGGAGCGGGGAGGGGGGAGGAGGGGGAGGGGGCGGCGGGGGCGGGTAGGAGGGGGAGGGGTGAGGAGAGGGAGGTGAGGAGGGGGATGGGGAGGAGGTGGAGGGAGGGAGGGGTGAGGAGAGGGAGGGTGAGGAGGGGGAGGGTGAGGAGAGGGAGGGGTGAGGAGAGGGGAGGGGGAAGACAGTCAGGCACTAAGCAGCCTTGGTATGGCTGGGTTTGCCCTAACATATATTTATGTCGATTTTTCCCCATAATCGAACAAATGATTTAGTGAAACATGACCAACTAAGGATAGGTAAATGGGAAGCAGCAGATACTGTACCATTGTTGAATTAAAAAACAACTTTGTTTAAGTGAGAAGTAGGCAGGTCTGAAGCTGCTTCACCCATGCTCTACCAAGGCTGACATCTCACCTCCTGTAACACCAGCATGGTGCTGAGGATGGCAGGCAGGGTGGTCTGAACGATACCATACTGGTCCTCAGAGTAGGACGCCGCCACCAGGTGAGACAGACCTACAGTAAGAAGGGAGGAGATTAGGCTAATATCAAAATCTTTACAAGAATGTGAAATCTTGTTGTTTTCTGCGCAAAAGTCTGATGAGTTTTTATGAAGAATGAAAGACCTTCTAGAGCCCATATGTGAGCCTGGCTGTCAGCGAACAGGGCCTGACTGGAAGCTTCCGGCAGCTGCAGGGAGAGACAACAATGAGTTAGGAAACTCAGTTACACTACAGCAATAATATGGTGTTAGCCATAGCTAACTATGACGGCAGCAATAATATGGTGTTAGCCATAGCTAACTACGACGACAGCAATAATATGGTGTTAGCCATAGCTAACTACGACGGCAGCAATAATATGGTGTTAGCGATAGCTAACTACGACGGCAGCAATAGTATGGTGTTAGCCATAGCTAACTACGACGGCAGCAATAATATGGTGTTAGCGATAGCTAACTAGGACGGCAGCAATAGTATGGTGTTAGCCATAGCTAACTACGACGGCAGCAATAATATGGTGTTAGCGATAGCTAACTAGGACGGCAGCAATAGTATGGTGTTAGCCATAGCTAACTACGACGGCAGCAATAATATGGTGTTAGCGATAGCTAACTAGGACGGCAGCAATAGTATGGTGTTAGCCATAGCTAACTATGACGGCAGCAATAGTATGGTGTTAGCCATAGCTAACTATGACGGCAGCAATAGTATGGTGTTAGCCATAGCTAACTAGGACGGCAGCAATAGTATGGTGTTAGCGATAGCTAACTAGGACGGCAGCAATAGTATGGTGTTAGCGATAGCTAACTAGGACGGCAGCAATAGTATGGTGTTAGCCATAGCTAACTACGACGGCAGCAATAATATGGTGTTAGCCATAGCTAACTAGGACGGCAGCAATAGTATGGTGTTAGCCATAGCTAATACGACGGCAGAATAATATGGTGTTAGCCATAGCTAACTAGGACGGCAGCAATAGTATGGTGTTAGCGATAGCTAACTAGGACGGCAGCAATAGTATGGTGTTAGCCATAGCTAACTAGGACGGCAGCAATAGTATGGTGTTAGCCATAGCTAACTAGGACGGCAGCAATAGTATGGTGTTAGCCATAGCTAACTACGACGGCAGCAATAATATGGTGTTAGCCATAGCTAACTAGGACGGCAGCAATAGTATGGTGTTAGCGATAGCTAACTATGACGGCAGCAATAGTATGGTGTTAGCGATAGCTAACTAGGACGGCAGCAATAGTATGGTGTTAGCGATAGCTAACTAGGACGGCAGCAATAGTATGGTGTTAGCGATAGCTAACTAGGACGGCAGCAATAGTATGGTGTTAGCCATAGCTAACTAGGACGGCAGCAATAGTATGGTGTTAGCCATAGCTAACTACGACGGCAGCAATAATATGGTGTTAGCCATAGCTAACTAGGACGGCAGCAATAGTATGGTGTTAGCGATAGCTAACTATGACGGCAGCAATAGTATGGTGTTAGCGATAGCTAACTATGACGGCAGCAATAGTATGGTGTTAGCCATAGCTAACTAGGACGGCAGCAATAGTATGGTGTTAGCCATAGCTAACTACGACGGCAGCAATAATATGGTGTTAGCCATAGCTAACTAGGACGGCAGCAATAGTATGGTGTTAGCCATAGCTAACTACGACGGCAGCAATAATATGGTGTTAGCCATAGCTAACTAGGACGGCAGCAATAGTATGGTGTTAGCGATAGCTAACTAGGACGGCAGCAATAGTATGGTGTTAGCCATAGCTAACTAGGACGGCAGCAATAGTATGGTGTTAGCCATAGCTAACTAGGACGGCAGCAATAGTATGGTGTTAGCCATAGCTAACTACGACGGCAGCAATAATATGGTGTTAGCCATAGCTAACTAGGACGGCAGCAATAGTATGGTGTTAGCGATAGCTAACTATGACGGCAGCAATAGTATGGTGTTAGCGATAGCTAACTAGGACGGCAGCAATAGTATGGTGTTAGCGATAGCTAACTAGGACGGCAGCAATAGTATGGTGTTAGCGATAGCTAACTAGGACGGCAGCAATAGTATGGTGTTAGCCATAGCTAACTAGGACGGCAGCAATAGTATGGTGTTAGCCATAGCTAACTACGACGGCAGCAATAATATGGTGTTAGCCATAGCTAACTAGGACGGCAGCAATAGTATGGTGTTAGCGATAGCTAACTATGACGGCAGCAATAGTATGGTGTTAGCGATAGCTAACTATGACGGCAGCAATAGTATGGTGTTAGCCATAGCTAACTAGGACGGCAGCAATAGTATGGTGTTAGCCATAGCTAACTACGACGGCAGCAATAATATGGTGTTAGCCATAGCTAACTACGACGACAGCAATAGTATGGTGTTAGCGATAGCTAACTATGACGGCAGCAATAACATGGTGTTAGCCATAGCTAACTACGACGGCAGCAATAATATGGTGTTAGCCATAGCTAACTACGACGACAGCAATAATATGGTGTTAGCGATAGCTAACTATGACGGCAGCAATAGTATGGTGTTAGGGGGATCCATACAGTTACATACCGCAATATATCATTTTTGGACGATATATCATATCGCTACTTTGACTCCAAGTATCGATTTTTGTAGAAGGTATGGTTAGCTAGCGCAAGGCGGCTGTCTGCATCAACACTACAGTATTTTCCTATTGCTTGTTCTCAGTCTTCTTTTTAAATTAGTGAGCCAACATGTTTTTAGACAATATATTCGCAAACAAAATCTCAGTATCAAATCGTAACACATATAGAATCGCAATACATATGGTATCAGCACCTAAGTATAGTGATAATATGGTATGGAGAGGTCCCTGGCCATCACAGCATGCTAGGACAGAGGAAGGTGGAGGAGATAACCAGTATGCTTCAGTTGGAAGTGATTAAAATAACCAACACCATGAACAGCATACTATTGACCTGATTAGCTCCGTTAACGCTGGCTACTGGGTAGCTTCTGGCTCCAGGCAGTAGCTAAGGCCTTTAGATGCCATTGGTCATTTCAGAAAGACGGAGTGTGTGAGCTTAATTAGTAGGGGAGGGTGGGGTAAGTTGAGCCATTTTTGTTTTACATTCAGCATCAATCCATCAAGGGAAATATAGTATTCTTTCTAACAAAGATATCTACATATATTTCAGGATGTTGTGTATCCCTGGAAATAAATCAGAATTCATGTAAACATTACAGTTTTGAAAACATAGCTTGTCCACAAAGTGGTCTTTTGGCACAACCCGGGTATGGGGTAAGTTAAGCCGGGTATGGGGTAAGTTGAGCCGGGTATGGGGTAAGTTAAGCCGGGTATGGGGTAAGTTAAGCCGGGTATGGGGTAAGTTAAGCCGGGTATGGGGTAAGTTGAGCCGGGTATGGGGTAAGTTGAGCCGGGTATGGGGTAAGTTAAGCCGGGTATGGGGTAAGTTAAGCCGGGTATGGGGTAAGTTAAGCCGGGTATGGGGTAAGTTAAGCCGGGTATGGGGTAAGTTAAGCCGGGTATGGGGTAAGTTAGCCGGGTATGGGGTAAGTTAAGCCGGGTATGGGGTAAGTTAAGCCGGGTATGGGGTAAGTTAAGCCGGGTATGGGGTAAGTTAAGCCGGGTATGGGGTAAGTTGAGCCGGGTATGGGGTAAGTTAAGCCGGGTATGGGGTAAGTTAAGCCGGTATGGGGTAAGTTGAGCCGGGTATGGGGTAAGTTAAGCCGGGTATGGGTTAAGTTGAGCCGGGTATGGGGTAAGTTGAGCCGGGTATGGGGTAAGTTAAGCCGGGTATGGGGTAAGTTGAGCCGGGTATGGGGTAAGTTGAGCCGGGTATGGGGTAAGTTAAGCCGGGTATGGGGTAAGTTAAGCCGGGTATGGGGTAAGTTAAGACACCTACATTTCTGTACAGATTGAAATATTACCACAACCTTTTTAAAACCATGTCTATATTTATTTCCCAAACACAATTCAATACAATCACTTTTTATATTTTAATAATGTTTAAGCATCTTCTAATACAGGCTTATGACCTAACAAACACTTTAGCTTAAAATGTAGAATGACTAATGCCTGAATGATAGAGCTATTCTTGTTGGGGCGGCAGGTAGCTTAGTGGTTAAGTAACCGAAAGGTCGCTGGTTCTAATCCCCGAGCCGACTAGGTGAAAAATCTGTCAATGTGCCCTTGAGCAAGGCACTTAACCCTAATTGCTCCTGTAAGTCGCTCTGGATAAGAGCGTCTGCTAAATGACTAAAAATGTAAAAATGTAAAATGTAATTATCTCAGTTTAATTAGTAATGAATGGTGAGGCTGCTAGACCAGGTAACATCCAGCGTTACGTAGATGATTTGTTAGGGATGATTTGGGGAAGAGCATGCAGTGAGCCCATGAGTCCCAGAGACAGTATCCTAGCAACCTAGACAGCATCCTAGTCCCACAACCTAGAGACAACATCCTCGTCCCACAACCCAGAGACAACATTCTAGTCCCACAACCTAGAGACAGTATCCTAGTCCCACAACCTAGACAGCATCCTAGTCCCACAACCTAGAGACAACATCCTAGTCCCACAACCTAGAGACAGCATCCTAGTCCCACAACCCAGAGACAACATCCTAGTCCCACAACCCAGAGACAACATCCTAGTCCCACAACCTAGAGACAACATCCTAGTCCCACAACCCAGAGACAACATCCTAGTCCCACAACCCAGAGACAACATTCTAGTCCCACAACCTAGAGACAACATCCTAGTCCCACAACCCAGAGACAACATCCTCGTCCCACAACCTAGACAGCATCCTAGTCCCACAACCTAGACAGCATCCTAGTCCCACAACCTAGAGACAGCATCCTAGTCCCACAACCCAGAGACAACATTCTAGTCCCACAACCCAGAGACAACATTCTAGTCCCACAACCCAGAGACAACATCCTAGTCCCACAACCTAGAGACAGCATCCTAGTCCCACAACCTAGAGACAACATCCTAGTCCCACAACCCAGAGACAACATCCTAGTCCCACAACCTAGAGACAACATCCTAGTCCCACAACCTAGAGACAGCATCCTAGTCCCACAACCTAGACAGCATCCTAGTCCCACAACCCAGAGACAACATCCTAGTCCCACAACCCAGAGACAGCATGCAGGTACACACAACCCAGAGACAGCATCCTAGTCCCACAACCCAGAGACAGCATGCAGGTACACACAACCTTACCTTGTTAAACAAATACATTATCAGCACCCGCTTTGCCAAGAAATGTTTAACCTGAATGGGACAATTACAATGTTAATACAAAGGAATGAAGTATAGTGTAAAATAATACACCATATCACTAAAATCAGCCAGATAGGGACCTAATATCTACGGTGTAAAATAATACAGGGTCCTATTCAGTAGGTACCAAACGGGAGAACATGTTTAGAAATGCAAGGCAGTACCTGGTCCTTCCTGTTCTGTAGGAAGGCAACAAGGAAGGAGGGTTTGAGATCCGCCTGGGTGGGGGCGGGACCAGGAGATGGCGTGGGACTGCTGTTCAGCTGGGAGTCTAGACAGACACACAAAGAATGGTCTGAATTCATTGGTCAATAAACATCACCGTTGTTGACTTGTCAACGTTAAAAACAAATCCATGGTTCTGAAAGGTGAATGATAATATGATACCAGTCATACTATGCGATCCCTTGGCTCATTGCAGTAATAGCAGCATTGCTAGTGAAATAATAGTCCAGTCCATTAGTAAAATCAGCCGTATGTGGCCCCTGGGCTGGCCCTCACCTGTAGAAGCAGACCAGAGTTTGGGGCCCCTCCTCATGACGTGAGGGCTCTGGATGGAGTTGAAGCCGGGGGACAGGGGCCCCAGAGGCTCCAGGGGGCCAGCGAGGCGCCGCAGGGCAGGGGAGGAGAAGGGGCTGTCTAGGTCCGGGGTAAAAGGGGCGGTGAGGGGAGTTCGCAGCCCACCCAGCCCCGCCCCGACAGAGGAACGCAAGAACACCGAGCCAGGGGTTCTGATCAGCGCGCTGGGCCGAGGAGTCTTCATATCCTCCATATCTACAGAAGATACTGGGAGGAGGAGTCAGAAACGTGTTTTTAAAGGACTAACATGCTCTTAAAAAGGTGATCTGACCTCAACCCTGGTTCTGGGGAGATACAGGGTGAGCAGGCTTTTGTTCCAGCCCTGCACTAACAAGGCTGACTCTAATCAAGATCTTGATGAGCAGTTGATTAGAAGAACGTGTTAGTTCAAGGCTGTAAAACAAAGCTGCATCCCATGATTGGCTGACCACTTCTATTTTTTACGTTGGTTCAGAATGTTCTCCAGAATGTATACATGATTATAAACTGGGTGGTTCGAACCCTGAATGCTGATTGGCGTATACCACAGGCATGACAAAACATTTATTTTTCCTGCTCTAATTACGTTGGTAACCGGTTTATAATAGCAATAAGGCACCTCAGGGGTTTGTGGTATATGGCCAATATACCACGGCTAAGGGCTGTATTCAGGCTGTATAATCCGCGTTGCGTCGTGCGTAAGAACAGCCCTTAGCCGTGGTATATTGGCCATATACCACACCCCCCCCCCCCCCCCGTGCCTTATCTACTGTGAACGCAGTTTACCGACCTGGGAAAAATTCAAATAAACAGCTACATATACAGTGCCTTTGGAACGTATTCAGACCCCTTGACCTTTTCCACATTGTTATGTTACAGCCTTATCCTAAAATTGATTTTTTTATTTTAAGCCTCTATCAACACAAAATACTCCATAATGACAAAGCAAAAACAGGTTCTTAGACATTTTTGCAAATGTATTAAAAATAAAAACAGAAATACCTTATTTACATAAGTATTCAGACCCTTTGCTATGAGACTTGAAATTAAGCTCAGGTGCATCCTGTTTCCATTGATCATCCTTGAGATGTTTCTACAACTTGGACTCCACCTGTGGTAAATTCAATTGATTGGACATGATTTGGAAAGGCACACACCTGTCTATATAAGGTCCCACAGTTGACAGTGCATGTCAGAGCAAAAACCAAGCCATGAGGTCGAAGGAATTGTCCGTAGAGCTCCGAGACAGGATTGTGTCGAGGCACAGATCTGGGGAAGGGTACCAAAAAATGTCTGCAGCATTGAAGGTCCCCAAGAACACAGTGGCCTCCATCATTCTTAAATGGAAGAAGTTTGGATCCACCAAGACTCTTCCTAGAGCTGGACGCCCGGCCAAACTGAGCAATCGGGGGAGAAGGGCCTTGGTCAGGGATGTGACCAAGAACCCGATGGCCACTTTGACAGAACTCCGGAGTTCCTCTGTGGAGATGGGAGAACCTTCCAGAAGGACAACCATCTCTGCAGCACTCCACCAAATCAGGCCTTTATGGTGGAGTGGCCAGACGGAAGCCACTCCTCAGTAAAATGCACATGACAACCCGCTTGGAGTTTGCCAAAAGACACCTGAAGGACTCTCAGACCATGAGAAACAAGATTCTCTGGTCTGATGAAACCACGATTGAACTCGTTGGCCTGAATGACAAGCATCACGTCTGGAGGAAACCTGGCACCATCCCTACGGTGAAGCATGGTGGTGGCAGCATCATGTTTTTCAGCGGCAGGGAGACTAGTCAGGATTGAAGGAAAGATGAACGGAGCAAAGTACAGAGAGATCCTTGATGAAAACCTGCTCCAGAGCGCTCAGGACCTTAGACTGGGGTGAAGGTTCACCCTCCAACAGGACAACGACCCTAAGCACACAGCCATGACAACGCAGGAGTGGCTTCGGGACAAGTCTCTGAATGTCCTTGAGTGGCCCAGCCAGAGCCCGGACTTGAACCCGATCGAACATCTCTGGAGAGACCAGAAAATAGCTGTGCAGCGACGCTCCCCATCCAACCTGACAGAGCTTGAGAGGATCTGCAGAGAAGAATGGGAGAAACTCCCCAAATACAGGTGTGCCAAGCTTGTAGCGTCATACCCAAGAAGTCTCGAGGCTGTAATCGCTGCCAAAGGTGCTTCAACAAAGTACTGAGTAAAGGGTCTGAATACTTACGTAAATGTGATATTTCCATTTTTTATTTCTAATACATTTGCAAACATTTCTAAAAACCTGTTTTTGTTTGTCATTATGGGGTATTGTGTGTAGATTGCTGATTTTTATTTATTTAATCAATTTTAGAATGAGGCTGTAACGTAACAAAATGTGGAAAAAGTCAAGTGGTCTGAATACTTTCCGAATGCACTGTAAAAAATAATGTTCTTCAGAGAGACACCACTGACAGAGCAGTAGCTACCGGAGCTTTCCGACGAGGTGGCGGCGGACCGCTTGTTGCTTCCTGTCGACTGGGACTTGGCCCGTCCGTTCGTGGCTACAGCGTCATGGTACACTACCAGCCTCTCAGTCAGGTCAGACAACAGAGACAGACACTCCTTACTCAGGGCCGTCCAGATGTGAGGGTGACCACCTGGGAGGGACAGACAGAACGACATTCCTCTGGGAATTAGACAGAATGACATTCCTCTGGGAATTACAGACAGAACGACATTACTCTGGGAATTACAGACAGAACGACATTCCTCTGGGAATTACAGACAGAACGACATTCCTCTGGGAATTACAGACAGAAAGACATTACTCTGGGAATTACAGACAGAACGACATTCCTCTGGGAATTACAGACAGAACGACATTACTCTGGGAATTACAGACAGAGAGACATTACTCTGGGAATTACAGACAGAACGACATTCCTCTGGGAATTACAGACAGAACGACATTCCTCTGGGAATTAGACAGAACGACATTCCTCTGGGAATTACAGACAGAAAGACATTACTCTGGGAATTACAGACAGAACGACATTCCTCTGGGAATTACAGACATAACGACATTCCTCTGGGAATTAGACAGAACGACATTACTCTGGGAATTAGACAGAAAGACATTCCTCTGGGAATTAGACAGAACGACATTCCTCTGGGAATTACAGACATAACGACATTCCTCTGGGAATTAGACAGAAAGACATTACTCTGGGAATTAGACAGAAAGACATTACTCTGGGAATTACAGACAGAACGACATTCCTCTGGGAATTACAGACATAACGACATTCCTCTGGGAATTAGACAGAAAGACATTACACTGGGAATTAGACAGAACGACATTACTCTGGGAATTACAGACAGAACGACATTCCTCTGGGAATTAGACAGAACGACATTACTCTGGGAATTACAGACAGAACGACATTACTCTGGGAATTAGACAGAAAGACATTACTCTGGGATTTAGACAGAAAGACATTACTCTGGGAATTAGACAGAAAGAAAAGTTACCATCTAGGAATTACAGACAGAAAGGGGAACTTTTCTCTGGTTTCCACATCTGCAAAGTCAAAATTGGCTATATCGTAAAAATACACCAACAAAAAAAGGGCCCGGGGCTGGGTTTCTACGAAGTTAACATAAGGAATTGTTTTAAGATGGTCATACAAAGGATCATTTAGCCATTTCATTTGGAATTTTAAGACCCCTGTAGGTATAACAAAAATATATAAAACAATTATTTGATGAATTTTGTCAGCATGTTATGGTCATGCAAATGACTGCCGGTCTCACGGTAATGACCGTTAATTAACATAAACATTTTTAGCATCTCCAGGCCTCCACGTATACAAGCCACCTTTGAAACATCTACATTTTAAAAAGTATAATAAATCCATTTAATACAAAGTCACTATAAATCCATTATGTTAGGAACATTATGACATTTAAGAAAATGTTTTTCAGAAGAACAGAATATGAGTTGGCCTACTGTATGTTATCTGGCTATGCTCCATGCCATAGGCTGTAGGCTTGTTCATTTAGCAGAAAATACAATAAGATCATATAAAATAATGTAAGAACAATATAACTGAACTTAAATGAAATAGAAAGGATATTTTTTCCATTCCAGAGCGAGTGATGATATACAGTGGGGAGAACAAGTATTTGATAACCTGCAAAATCGGCAGTGTTTCCTACTTACAAAGCATGTAGAGGTCTGTAATTTTTATCATAGGTACACTTCAACTGTGAGAGACGGAATCTAAAACGAAAATCACATTGTATGATTTTTAAGTAATTCATTTGCATTTTATTGCATGACATAAGTATTTGATCACCTACCAACCAGTAAGAATTCCGGCTCTCACAGACCTGTTCGTTATTCTTTAAGAAGCCCTCCTGTTCTCCACTCATTACCTGTATTAACTGCACCTGTTTGAACTCGTTACCTGTATAAAAGACACCTGTCCACCCACTCAATCAAAGAGACTCCAACCTCTCCACAATGGCCAAGACCAGAGAGCTGTGTAAGGACATCAGGGATAAAATTGTAGACCTGCACAAGGCTGGGATGGGCTACAGGACAATAGGCAAGCAGCTTGGTGAGAAGGCAACAACTGTTGGCACAATTATTAGAAAATGGAAGAAGTTCAAGATGACGGTTAATCACCCTCGGTCTGGGGCTCCATGCAAGATCTCACCTCGTGGGGCATCAATGATCATGAGGAAGGTGAGGGATCAGCCCAGAACTACACGGCAGGACCTGGTCAATGACCTGAAGAGAGCTGGGACCACAGTCTCAAAGAAAACCATTAGTAACACACTACGCCGTCATGGATTAAAATCCTGCAGCGCACGCAAGGTCCCCCTGCTCAAGCCAGCGCATGTCCAGGCCCGTCTGAAGTTTGCCAATGACCATCTGGATGATCCAGAGGAGGAATGGGAGAAGGTCATGTGATCTGATGAGACAAAAATTGAGCTTTTTGGTCTAACCTCCACTCGCCGTGTTTGGAGGAAGAAGAAGGATGAGTACAACCCCAAGATCACCATCCCAACCGTGAAGCATGGAGGTGGAAACATAATTATTTGGGGATGCTTTTCTGCAAAGGGTACAGGACGACTGCACCGTATAGAGGGGAGGATGGATGGGGCCATGTATCGCGAGATCTTGGCCAACAACCTCCTTCCCTCAGTAAGAGCATTGAAGATGGGTCGTGGCTGGGTCTTCCAGCATGACAACGACCCGAAACACACAGCCAGGGCAACTAAGGAGTGGCTCCGTAAGAAGCATCTCAAGGTCCTGGAGTGGCCTAGCCAGTCTCCAGACCTGAACCCAATAGAAAATCTTTGGAGGGAGCTGAAAGTCCGTATTGCCCAGCGACAGCCCCGAAACCTGAAGGATCTGGAGAAGGTCTGTATGGAGGAGTGGGCCAAAATCCCTGCTGCAGTGTGTGCAAACTTGGTCAAGACCTACAGGAAACGTATGATCTCTGTAATTGCAAACAAAGGTGTCTGTACCAAATATTAAGTTCTGCTTTTCTGATGTATCAAATACTTATGTCATGTAAAAAAATGCAAATGAATTACTTAAGAATCATACAATGTGATTTTCTGGATTTTTGTTTTAGATTCCAACTCTCACAGTTGAAATGTACCTTTGATAAAAATTACAGACCTCTACATGCTTTGTAAGTAGGAAAACCTGTAAAATCGGCAGTGTATCAAATACTTGTCCTCCAAACTGTATATGATCATATGAAGTGGCCATGTTGAGCGTCAAAGTGATCCTTTGAAACAGGTCCTATATGCTAGATTTAGAGTTATTAGGAACATGTTGTTGTGAATTATAGAATGTCTTAGAAATCAAAACATATAATGGGCTGCATGATGCTTTCTGCTTTCACACGGGATTGCATATAGAAACGTCTGGGCTTATAAGAACACTTATTTCACTTCACATCACTGTTTGAGGAGCATGCAGCCTCGCGCTGCACGACAGGTGATCTTCCACTTTGGATCGTAGCATAATACAGTCCACACTCAGAAGGCCATTACTAGAAATTGTTTAATTTTAGAGTATAGGCTAGACTAATTATGTATCTTAAATATAAAAAAAAAAAAATGTTTTCTGCGGTTGGCTATGTATTGTGTATTGTATAACAGCACAATCATTATTTTAATTACGCTTGGGCTCATGTGTGTATATACACATAAGCTCTAATATGGGTGTTCTATACTGCACAAATATATAAAACGCAACATGCAACATTTTCAATGATTTTGCTGAGTTACAGTTCATAAGGAAATTGGTCAATTGAAATACATTCATTAGGCCCTAATCTATGGATTCCACATGACTGGGGAGGGACACTGCTATTGGTGGCCCCACCCACTGGGGAGCCAGGCCCAGCCAATCAGAATTAGATTTTCCCCACAAAAGGGCTTTATTACAGACAGAAATACTCCTCAGTTTCATCAGCTGTCAGGGTGGCTGGTCTCAGATGATCACGCAGGTGAAGAAGCCCTGGGCTGATGTGGTTACATGTGGTCTGCGGTTGAGGCCATTTGTACGTACTGCCAAATTCTCTAAAATGACAGAGGCGGCTTATGGTAGAGAAATTAACATAACATTATCTGGAAACAACTCTGGTGGACATTCCTGTAGTCAGCATGCCAATTGCTCGCTCCCTCAAAACTTGAGACATCTGTGGCATTGTGTTGTGTGACAAAACTGCACATTTTAGAGTGGCCTTTGTGTCCCCAGCACAAGGTGCACCTGTGTAATGATCATGCTGCTTAATCAGCTTCTTGATATGCCACCCTGTCAGGTGGATGGATTATCTTGGCAAAGAAGAAATGCTCACTAACAGGGATGTAAACAAATTTGTGCGCAACATTTGAGAGAAATACGCTTTTTGTGCGTATTGAACATTTCTGGGATCTTTTATTTCAGCTCATGAAACATGGGACCTACACTTACCATCTTACGTTTATATTTTTGTTCAGTACACATGCAAGTCTTAAACGCTTTGAATGAATCATCACCTTAGATTAGAAAGCGCTGTCCATTTAGTTGTGTTTGGCTTTGAAACAAAATCCCACAACAAGCATGTTTTCCACTCAGTTTCAACCGGTTGTTGAGCGTCTTTCATCAAAATGATCATCACAGTGCAGCCTAACGGAGCTTTAAAAGCATGATACTGTTTTGATGATCAGTGTATGTGATTTTCGATTGCATTGATGTCAGAGTGGTTAAAGGGACAATAGAGCGCTGAGTACCAGACCAGCGACCTGGTGATCATTAGCTAGTTGGGTACCAATGCATGTCCAGAGGAAACTACTGTGACTACGATGATTGCCGGTGTGGCGGAAATAAGGTCACCGCCCTAGTCTATTTGAGAGATTTAAGAATTATCTTATAATTATAGATTTCTTATAATATCTTAAATATTCGTATATTCTATTTTTTACTTTTTCTCATAATGACAAAGTGAAAACATGTTTTTAGAAATATTGAAAATAAAATCCCAAATTCTAATTTACTTAAGTATTCACACCCCTTTGCTATGACACTCCAAATTGAGCTCAGGTGCATCCTATTTCCTTTGATCCTCCTTGATGTCGCTACAACTTGATTGGAGTCCACCTGTGGCCAATTCAACTGTTTGGACATGATTTAGAAAGAAACACACCTGTCTACAGTCGTGGTCAAAAGTTTTGAGAATGACACAAGTATTGGTCTTCAAAGTTTGCCGCTTCAGTATTTTTAGATATTTTTGTCAGATGTTACTATGGTATACTGAAGTATAATTACAAGCATTCCATAAGTGTCAAAGGCTTTTATTGACAATTACATGAAGTTTATGCAAAGAGTCAATATTTGCAGTGTTGACCCTTCTTTTTCAAGCCCTCTGCAATCCGCCCTGGCATGCAGTCAATTAACTTCTGGGCCACATCCTGACTGATGGCAGCCCATTCTTGCATAATCAATGCTTGGAGTTTGTCAGAATTTGTGGGTTTTTGTTTGTCCACCCGCCTCTTGAGGATTGACCACAAGTTCTCAATGGGATTAAGGTCTGGGGAGTGTCCTGGCCATGGACCCAAAATGTCAATGTTTTGTTCCCCGAGCCACTTAGTTATCACTTTTGCCTTATTGCAAGGTGCTCCATCATGCTGGAAAAGGCATTGGTCGTCACCAAACTGTTCTTGGATGGTTGGGAGAAGTTGCTCTCGGAGGATGTGTTGGTACCATTCTTTATTCATGGCTGTGTTCTTAGGCAAAATTGTGAGTGAGCCCACTCCCTTGGCTGAGAAGCAACCCCACACATGAATGGTCTCAGGATGCTTTACTGTTGGCATGACACAGGACTGATGGTAGCGCTCACCTTGTCTTCTCCGGACAAGGTGTTTTCCGGATACCCCAAACAATCGGAAAGGGGATTCATCAAAGAATATGACTTTACCCCAGTCCTCAGCAGGTGTTCCAACAGGACAATGACCCCAAGAATACAGCCAAAGCAACACTGGAATGGCTTCAGAACAAGAATGTGAAAGTCCTTGAGTGGCCCAGCCAAAGCCCAGACTTGAAACCCAGTGGATAGACTTGAAGATTGCTGTTCACTGCCACTCCCCATCTAACTTATTAACAGAGCTTGAGAAAATCTGCAAGGAACAATAGGAGAAAATCCCCAAATCCAGATGTACAAAGCTGAAAGACAAATTCCAAGATGACTCAAAGCTGTACTCACCGTCAAAAGGTGCTTTACAAAGTATTGACTCAGGGTTGTGAATACTTACGTAAATAAGATTTCTGTATTTCATTTTCAATAAAATGTGCAAAAATGTCTAAAAACATGTTTTCACCTTGTCATTATGGGGTATTGTGTGTAGAAAAAAATCGATTGAATCCATTTTGAATTCAGGCTGTAACAACAAAACGTGGCATCAGTCGAGGGGTATGAATACTTTCTGAAGGCACTAGCTTAACCAGATTTTTAAATGGGGAATTTTTTATTAAACTAATTAGATTTCCACGGGGGCACGGACATCGACTTTAAAGCGTTCATTTACGGTTAGGCATAAGGTCAGCAGTGAGGTTAAGCTTAGGCATAAGGTCAGCAGTGAGGTTAAGCTTAGGCATAAGGTCAGCAGTGAGGTTAAGCTTAGGCATAAGGTCAGCAGTGAGGTTAAGGTTAGGCATAAGGTCAGCAGTGTGGTTAAGGTTAGGCATAAGGTCAGCAGTGTGGTTAAGGTTAGGCATAAGGTCAGCAGTGTGGTTAAGGTTAGGCATAAGGTCAGCAGTGAGGTTACGGTTAGGCATAAGGTCAGCAGTGTGGTTAAGGTTAGATTAAAAAAATTGTCAGAAGATACATTGTAGAAATGGGCGGGGTTTAGCCATAATTATGACTGTGGCTATGGAAGCTAGTGATGACTTTACTTTACTCAGGGAATAACAGACAGAACGGCAGACGGGACATTACTCTGGGAATAACAGACAGAACGGCAGACGGGACATTACTCAGGGAATAACAGACAGAACGGCAGACGGGACATTACTCAGGGAATAACAGACGGCAGACGGGACATTACTCAGGGAATAACAGACAGAACGGCAGACGGGACATTACTCAGGGAATAACAGACAGAACGGCAGACGGGACATTACTCAGGGAACAACAGACAGAACGGCAGACAGGGGACATTACTCTGGGAATAACAGACAGAACGACAGATGGGACATTACTCTGGGAACAACAGACAGAACGACAGACAGGGACATTACTCTGGAACACAGACAGAACGCAGATAGGGACAATTACTCTGGGAACAACAGACAAGGCAGATAGGGGACATTACTCTGGGACAACAGACAGAACGGCAGATGGGACATTACTCTGGGAATAACAGAGAACGGCAGACGGGACATTACTCTGGGAACAACAGACAGAACGACAGATGGGACATTACTCTGGGAATAACATACGAACGGCAGACGGGACATTACTCTGGGAATAACAGACAGAACACAACGGGACATTACTCTGGGAATACAGACAGAACGGCAGACGGGACATTACTCTGGGAATAAACAGACAGAACAGCAGACGGGACATTACTCTGGGAATAACAGACAGAACGGCAGACGGGACATACTCTGGGAACAACAGACAGAACGGCAGACAGGGGACATTACTCTGGGAATAACAGACAGAACGGCAGACAGGGGACATTACTCTGGGAATAACAGACAGAACGGCAGACAGGGGACATTACTCTGGGAACAACAGACAGAACATTACTCTGGGAATAACAGACAGAACGACAGACAGGGGACATTACTCTGGGAATAACAGACAGAACGACAGACGGGGGACATTACTCTGGGAATAACAGACAGAACGGCAGACGGGGGACATTACTCTGGGAATAACAGACAGAACGGCAGACGGGACATTACTCAGGGAATAACAGACAGAACGGCAGACGGGACATTACTCGGGGAACAACAGACAGAACGGCAGACAGGGGACATTACTCTGGGAACAACAGACAGAACGGCAGACAGGGGACATTACTCAGGGAATAACAGACAGAACGGCAGACAGGACATTACTCAGGGAAATAAACGGCAGGACAGGGGACATTACTCTGGGAACAACAGACAGAATGGCAGACAGGGGACATTACTCTGGGAATAACAGACAGAACGGCAGACAGGGGACATTACTCTGGGAACAACAGACAGAACGGCAGACAGGGGACATTACTCTGGGAACAACAGACAGAACGGCAGACGGGACATTACTCTGGGAACAACAGACAGAACGGCAGATAGGGGACATTACTCTGGGAACAACAGACAGAACGACAGATGGGACATTACTCTGGGAATAACAGACAGAACGGCAGACGGGACATTACTCTGGGAATAACAGACAGAACGGCAGACGGGACATTACTCTGGGAACAACAGACAGAACGGCAGACAGGGGACATTACTCTGGGAATAACAGACAGAACGGCAGACAGGGGACATTACTCTGGGAATAACAGACAGAACAGCAGACGGGACATTACTCTGGGAACAACAGACAGAACGGCAGACAGGGGACATTACTCTGGGAACAACAGACAGAACGGCAGACAGGGGACATTACTCTGGGAATAACAGACAGAACGGCAGACAGGGGACATTACTCTGGGAACAACAGACAGAACGGCAGACAGGGGACATTACTCTGGGAACAACAGACAGAACGGCAGACAGGGGACATTACTCTGGGAATAACAGACAGAACGGCAGACAGGGGACATTACTCTGGGAACAACAGACAGAACGACAGATGGGACATTACTCTGGGAACAACAGACAGAACGACAGATGGGACATTACTCTGGGAACAACAGACAGAACGGCAGATAGGGGACATTACTCTGGGAATAACAGACAGAACGGCAGACGGGGGACATTACTCTGGGAATAACAGACAGAACGGCAGACGGGACATTACTCTGGGAATAACAGACAGAACGGCAGACGGGACATTACTCGGGGAACAACAGACAGAACGGCAGACAGGGGACATTACTCTGGGAACAACAGACAGAACGGCAGATAGGGGACATTACTCTGGGAACAACAGACAGAACGGCAGATAGGGGACATTACTCTGGGAACAACAGACAGAAGAATATGCATACTGCAGAGCCAGTTGATGTTTCAGAGACATTTCCAATGTCAACAGAGGAATAATCTAAATATATTGATAATGCAGATAGCGTTTTTATTTTTTACTGTAAGTAATGAGACACATGAAGTGCATTCTGTAATGTGAAAGTATAAATATGCATTAGTTGTATTTATGCAGGCAGAGCAGTGGGGTCACCTGGTTGGCTGAGACTGAACACCTCCAGACGTCTAGAAGGAGAGTGTTGAGACAGCAGAGCCAGGTCCTGGAGGGCTAGAAACTGACAGGACACAGAACAGATGTATGGTTAACTGGAAGGTTTAGGAACTGACAGGACACAGAACAGATGTACGGTTAACTGGAGGTTTAGGAACTGACAGGACACAGAACAGATGTATGGTTAACTGGAGGACTAGGAACTGACAGGACACAGAACAGATGTATGGTTAACTGGAGGACTAGGAACTGACAGGACACAGAACAGATGTACGGTTAACTGGAGGTTTAGGAACTGACAGGACACAGAACAGATGTACGGTTAACTGGAGGGATACAGAACAGAGGGTAAAATCAATCGATCGTTAGTCACAACAGAAGCTTTAACAGAGGAAAATCAAATCGAAGTCACTCATAACAGGGAATGCTGATGATCCTGAAATGGATTGTTTCCATTGTTAAATTGATGTAGAACGCTTACCTTCAGTATCATTGGTTGCATGCCAGTGATAACTTTGGGGAGGCACTGGTGAGCATCCTCTGTGAACGTGGACTGGACAGGAAAACTGTAAACCTGCAAGAAATTATCATTGTCAAATCATACTTATATTTTCTATGGTACTAAGCAGACAGGTTAGAAGTGCACACTTCTGGGAGAAGAATGGTTGTGAATCGAACAGCAGCCATAGAGAGTAAATACTTAACAGTCAGTTAGAGACTGGTAGAGAAGCAGTGAGTCAGTCCAGGACTAGACTGGTAGAGAAGCAGTGAGTCAGTCCAGGACTAGACTGGTGGAGAAGCAGTGAGTCAGTCCAGGACTAGACTGGTGGAGAAGCAGTGAGTCAGTCCAGGACTAGACTGGTGGAGAAGCAGTGAGTCAGTCCAGGACTAGACTGGTGGAGAAGCAGTGAGTCAGTCCAATAGACTAGACTGGTGGAGAAGCAGTGAGTCAGTCCAGGACTAGACTGGTGGAGAAGCAGTGAGTCAGTCCAGGACTAGACTGGTGGAGAAGCAGTGAGTCAGTCCAATAGACTAGACTGGTGGAGAAGCAGTGAGTCAGTCCAATAGACTAGACTGGTGGAGAAGCAGTGAGTCAGTCCAGGACTAGACTTGTGGAGAAGCAGTGAGTCAGTCCAGGACTAGACTGGTGGAGAAGCAGTGAGTCAGTCCAGGACTAGACTGGTGGAGAAGCAGTGAGTCAGTCCAATAGACTAGACTGGTGGAGAAGCAGTGAGTCAGTCCAGGACTAGACTGGTGGAGAAGCAGTGAGTCAGTCCAGGACTAGACTGGTGGAGAAGCAGTGAGTCAGTCCAATAGACTAGACTGGTGGAGAAGCAGTGAGTCAGTCCAATAGACTAGACTGGTGGAGAAGCAGTGAGTCAGTCCAGGACTAGACTGGTGGAGAAGCAGTGAGTCAGTCCAGGACTAGACTGGTGGAGAAGCAGTGAGTCAGTCCAATAGACTAGACTGGTGGAGAAGCAGTGAGTCAGTCCAATAGACTAGACTGGTGGAGAAGCAGTGAGTCAGTCCAATAGACTAGACTGGTGGAGAAGCAGTGAGTCAGTCCAGGACTAGACTGGTGGAGAAGCAGTGAGTCAGTCCAGGACTAGACTGGTGGAGAAGCAGTGAGTCAGTCCAATAGACTAGACTGGTGGAGAAGCAGTGAGTCAGTCCAGGACTAGACTGGTGGAGAAGCAGTGAGTCAGTCCAATAGACTAGACTGGTGGAGAAGCAGTGAGTCAGTCCAATAGACTAGACTGGTGGAGAAGCAGTGAGTCAGTCCAGGACTAGACTGGTGGAGAAGCAGTGAGTCAGTCCAATAGACTAGACTGGTGGAGAAGCAGTGAGTCAGTCCAATAGACTAGACTGGTAGAGAAGCAGTGAGTCAGTCCAGGACTAGACTAGACTGGTGGAGAAGCAGTGAGTCAGTCCAGGACTAGACTGGTGGAGAAGCAGTGAGTCAGTCCAGGACTAGACTGGTGGAGAAGCAGTGAGTCAGTCCAATAGACTAGACTGGTGGAGAAGCAGTGAGTCAGTCCAGGACTAGACTGGTGGAGAAGCAGTGAGTCAGTCCAGGACTAGACTGGTAGAGAGGCAGTGAGTCAGTCCAGGACTAGACTGGTGGAGAAGCAGTGAGTCAGTCCAGGACTAGACTAGACTGGTGGAGAAGCAGTGAGTCAGTCCAGGACTAGACTGGTGGAGAAGCAGTGAGTCAGTCCAATAGACTAGACTGGTGGAGAAGCAGTGAGTCAGTCCAGGACTAGACTGGTGGAGAAGCAGTGAGTCAGTCCAGGACTAGACTGGTGGAGAAGCAGTGAGTCAGTCCAATAGACTAGACTGGTGGAGAAGCAGTGAGTCAGTCCAGGACTAGACTAGACTGGTGGAGAAGCAGTGAGTCAGTCCAGGACTAGACTGGTGGAGAAGCAGTGAGTCAGTCCAGGACTAGACTGGTGGAGAAGCAGTGAGTCAGTCCAGGACTAGACTGGTGGAGAAGCAGTGAGTCAGTCCAATAGACTAGACTGGTGGAGAAGCAGTGAGTCAGTCCAATAGACTAGACTGGTAGAGAAGCAGTGAGTCAGTCCAGGACTAGACTGGTGGAGAAGCAGTGAGTCAGTCCAATAGACTAGACTGGTGGAGAAGCAGTGAGTCAGTCCAATAGACTAGACTGGTAGAGAAGCAGTGAGTCAGTCCAGGACTAGACTGGTGGAGAAGCAGTGAGTCAGTCCAGGACTAGACTAGACTGGTGGAGAAGCAGTGAGTCAGTCCAACAGACTAGACTGGTGGAGAAGCAGTGAGTCAGTCCAATAGACTAGACTGGTGGAGAAGCAGTGAGTCAGTCCAGGACTAGACTGGTGGAGAAGCAGTGAGTCAGTCCAGGACTAGACTGGTAGAGAAGCAGTGAGCCAGTCCAATAGACTAGACTGGTGGAGAAGCAGTGAGTCAGTCCAGGACTAGACTGGTGGAGAAGCAGTGAGTCAGTCCAGGACTAGACTAGACTGGTGGAGAAGCAGTGAGTCAGTCCAATAGACAGAAAGAATGAGCATTCACTCCCTGAGGAGCAGGACAGTGATGTATCGTACCAGGTCAGCAAGAGGAAGGTTAGGGGTCAGCGGTTAGGGTTAGATCCTGAGGAGCAGGACAGTGATGTATCGTACCAGGTGAGCAAGAGGAAGGTTAGGGGTACGAGGTTAGGGTTAGGTCCTGAGGAGCAGGACAGTGATGTATCGTACCAGGTCAGCAAGAGGAAGGTTAGGGGTCAGCGGTTAGGGTTAGATCCTGAGGAGCAGGACAGTGATGTATCGTACCAGGTCAGCAAGAGGAAGGTTAGGGGTCAGAGGTTAGATCCTGAGGAGCAGGACAGTGATGTATCGTACCAGGTCAGCAAGAGGAAGGTTAGGGGTCCGAGGTTAGGGTTAGGTCCTGAGGAGCATGACAGTGATGTATCGTACCAGGTCAGCAAGAGGAAGGTTAGGGGTCAGCGGTTAGGGTTAGATCCTGAGGAGCAGGACAGTGATGTATCGTACCAGGTCAGCAAGAGGAAGGCTAGGGGTCAGAGGTTAGATCCTGAGGAGCAGGACAGTGATGTATCGTACCAGGTCAGCAAGAGGAAGGTTAGGGGTCAGAGGTTAGATCCTGAGGAGCAGGACAGTGATGTATCGTACCAGGTCAGCAAGAGGAAGGTTAGGGGTCAGAGGTTAGATCCTGAGGAGCAGGACAGTGATGTATCGTACCAGGTCAGCAAGAGGAAGGTTAGGGGTCAGAGGTTAGATCCTGAGGAGCAGGACAGTGATGTATCGTACCAGGTCAGCAAGAGGAAGGTTAGGGGTCAGAGGTTAGATCCTGAGGAGCAGGACAGTGATGTATCGTACCAGGTCAGCAAGAGGAAGGTTAGGGGTCAGAGGTTAGGGTTAGGTCCTGAGGAGCAGGACAGTGATGTACCAGGTGAAGGTTACGCCTTGATCAGACCGACAGCGTCATTGCATCAACGCTGCGTAATCAATTCTGCAGTCATATTTTTCCCATGATGTAATCCAACATGTTTAGTGGATATGTGAGCAACAAAAGTTCAACATTCACCTTTTACTACTATTTCTGTCACGTCTACTCATACAATCTGATGCATCTGAACTCACTGCAACTGCCTCTGCAACGCCGCAAGGCAAACGCAGCGTTCCATTGGAAAATAATGTACTTCTGGTGTACCAAAACGCAATGACGCTGTCGGTCTGATCGAGGTGTAAGGGGTTAGGGGTCAGAGGAGCTATATGTACCTCGGTAACAAAGATCCTGAAGAGCAGCACTGTGGTGTACCAGGTGAGGAGGAGGAAGGTCCCACTGATCCACAGGTGATAGAGGAGAGAAAGGTCCAAAAGACTAGACACACTGTCCAGGGAATGGATTGAACTAGAGGGGGAGACAAGAACACGTCTGTCATCGGTTCAGTCTGTCTTGCTGCATGTACCATTCCATTCCAGTGGAATACTGACATCATTTTTTAACGACGTATTCAATGCAGGACTTTTGTATTTATTATGGATCCCCATTAGCTGCTGCCAAGGCAGAAGCTACTCTTCCTGATGTCCAGCAAAATTAAGGCAGTTATACATTTAAAAAAAACATTACAATACATTCATAACAGATTTCACAGCACACTAAGACTTAAAATACATTAGGAAAGGAATATGAGGAGTCCCATCTAAATACAGCTATCTAGTAGTAGAGGGATATCTGGGTGAGCTCCCTAGTAGTAGAGGGGTATCTGGGTGAGCTCCCTAGTAGTAGAGGGGTATCTGGGTGAGCTCCCTAGTAGTAGAGGGGTATCTGGGTGAGCTCCCTAGTAGTAGAGGGATATCTGGGGGAGCTCCCTAGTAGTAGAGGGGTATCTGGGTGAGCTCCCTAGTAGTAGAGGGGTATCTGGGTGAGCTCCCTAGTAGTAGAGGGGTATCTGGGTGAGCTCCCTAGTAGTAGAGGGGTATCTGGGTGAGCTCCCTAGTAGTAGAGGGGTATCTGGGTGAGCTACCTAGTAGTAGAGGGGTATCTGGGTGAGCTACCTAGTAGTAGAGGGATATCTGGGTGAGCTCCCTAGTAGTAGAGGGGTATCTGGGTGAGCTCCCTAGTAGTAGAGGGGTATCTGGGTGAGCTCCCTAGTAGTAGAGGGGTATCTGGGTGAGCTCCCTATTAGTAGAGGGGTATCTGGGTGAGCTATCTAGTAGTAGAGGGGTATCTGGGTGAGCTCCCTAGTAGTAGAGGGGTATCTGGGTGAGCTCCCTAGTAGTAGAGGGGTATCTGGGTGAGCTCCCTAGTAGTAGAGGGGTATCTGGGTGAGCTCCCTAGTAGTAGAGGGGTATCTGGGTGAGCTCCCTAATAGTAGAGGGATATCTGGGTGAGCTCCCTAGTAGTAGAGGGGTATCTGGGTGAGCTCCCTAGTAGTAGAGGGGTATCTGGGTGAGCTCCCTAGTAGTAGAGGGGTATCTGGGTGAGCTCCCTAGTAGTAGAGGGGTATCTGGGTGAGCTCCCTAGTAGTAGAGGGGTATCTGGGGGAGCTCCCTAGTAGTAGAGGGGTATCTGGGGGAGCTCCCTAGTAGTAGAGGGGTATCTGGGTGAGCTCTCTAGTAGTAGAGGGGTATCTGGGTGAGCTCCCTAGTAGTAGAGGGGTATCTGAGTGAGCTCCCTAGTAGTAGAGGGGTATCTGGGTGAGCTCCCTAGTAGTAGAGGGGTATCTGGGTGAGCTCTCTAGTAGTAGAGGGGTATCTGGGTGAGCTCCCTAGTAGTAGAGGGGTATCTGAGTGAGCTCCCTAGTAGTAGAGGGGTATCTGGGTGAGCTCCCTAGTAGTAGAGGGGTATCTGGGGGAGCTCCCTAGTAGTAGAGGGGTATCTGGGGGAGCTCCCTAGTAGTAGAGGGGTATCTGGGTGAGCTCCCTAGTAGTAGAGGGGTATCTGGGTCAGATTCAAATGATATCATGAGGTTAACCTGTTGATGTTGAGGTCAAGTGTTTTACAGATCCACGCTCGTGGTGCATATCCTGAAAGACAGGGAGATAGACATCATTAACAATACCTTCATCATTTGACTACAGAACAGTTGGGAGACACCCCACTGCATATATACCGGTGAATACCTCATACGCAAAACAGAGCTTTGACGGACTTCGTAATGTCTTCTTCATCTTACCCAGGAAGAAATAGAGGAGGAGGAAGTTCCTGAGAGAGTAGAGAGCCTGAACAGCACTGGCTTTCACCACTAGGGGCAGAGTTCCCTTGAAGCGGAGGTACTTGTATTGCTGAAACATGAAAAGCAGAGCAGTGGAGGCCGCTGAGGGGAGGAGGCTCATAATAATGTCTGGAATGGAGTAAATGGGATGGTATCACACACAGAGACAGGGTTTCCATGGTTTCCATGTGTTTGACTCCATTCCATTGACTCCATTCCAGACATTATTATGAGCCTCCTCCCCTAAGCAGCCTGAGGAGAACAGGGCACTTCCTGATGTCTCATAACATAGTTACATTTACATTTTAGTCATTTTAGCAGACGCTCTTATCCAGAGCGACTTACAGGAGCAATTAGGGTTAAGTGCCTTGCTAGTTCTGTCAAAAGGTAACAGAAACTATAATGCCCAACACTAGTAGACGTCGATGGGTTATGTTCAGTAGGGTGCACCGTAGGAAAATGAAAAATGAAAAATCACATTTAAATAAATATTCAGACCCTTTACTCAGTACTTTGTTGAAGCACCTTTGGCAGCGATTACAGCCTTGAGTCTTCTTGGGTATGACGCTACAAGCTTGTCACACCTGTATTTGGGGAGTTTCTCCCATTCTTCTCTGCAGATCCTCTCAAGCTCTGTCAGGTTGGATGGGGAGCATCGCTGCACAGCTATTTTCTGGCTGGGCCACTCAAGGACATTCAGAGACTTGTCCTGAAGCCACTCCTGCGTTGTCTTGGCTGTGTGCATAAGGTTGTTGTCCTCTTGGAAGGTGAACCGTCGCCCCAGTCTGAGGTCCTGAGCGCTCTGGAGCAGGTTTTCATCAAGGATCTCTCTGTACTTTGCTGCGTTCATCTTTCCCCTCGATCCTGACTAGTCTCCCAGTCCCTGCTGCTGAAAAATATCCCCACAGCATGATGCTGCCACCACCATGCTTCACCGTAGGGATGGTGCCATGTTTCCTCCAGACGTGATGCTTGGCTTTCAGGCCAAAATAGTTCAATCTTGGTTTCATCAGACCAGAGAATCTTGTTTCTCATGGTCTGAGAGTCCTTTAGGTGCCTTTTGGCAAACTCCAAGCGGGCTGTCATGTGCCTTTTACTGAGGAGTGGCTTCCGTCTGGCCACTCTACCATACAGGCCTGATTGGTGGAGTGCTGCAGAGATGGTTGTCCTTCTGGAAGGTTCTCCCATCTCCACAGAGGAAATCTGGAGCTCTGTCAGAGTGACCATCGGGTTCTTGGTCACCTCCCTGACCAAGACCCTTCTCCCCAGATTGCTCAGTTTGGCCGGGCGACCAGCTCTAGGAAGAGTCTTGGTGGTTCCAAACGTCTTCCATTTAAGAATGATGGAGGCCACTGTGTTCTTGGGGACCTTCAATGCAGCATACATTTTTTGGTACCCTTCCCCAGATCTGTGCCTCGACACAATCCTGTCTCGGAGCTCTATGGACAATTCCTTTGACCTCATGGCTTGGTTTTTGCTCTGACATGAACTGTCAACTGTGGGACCTTTATATAGACAGGTGTGTGCCTTTCCAAATCATGTCCAATCAATATAATTTACCTCAGGTGGACTCCAATCAAGTTGTAGAAACATCTCAAGGATGATCAATGGAAACAGGATGCACCTGAGCTAAATTTCTAGTCTCATAGAAAAGGGTCTGAATACTTATGTAAATACGTTTTTTTTTTTTTTTGTAATAAATGGGATAAAACTTCTTAAAAAACGGTTTTCGCTTTGTCATTATGGGTTATTGTGTGTAGATTGATGAGGGCAATTTATTAAATCAATTTTAGAATGAGGCTGTAACACAATAAAATGTGGAAAAAGTGGAGGGGTCTGAATACTTTCCGAATGCCAAAAAAAAGTATGTGAACCCTTCGGAATTACCTGGATTTCTGCATAAATTGGTCATAAAATTTGATCTGATTTTCATGTAAGTCACAACAATAGATGAGCAGTGGGTTCAACCTCTACGGGATCGGTGTCCCGTAAACAGGACGGTTCGCTAACGTGCGCTAATGTGATTAGCAAGCAAACTTTCCAGGACATAGACATGTCTTATATGGGCAGAAAGCTTAAATTATTGTTAATCTAACTGCACTGTCCAATTTACAGTGAAAAAATACCATGCTATTGTTTGAGGAAAGTGCACAACAACAAAAAACGTATCACGGCAACTGGTTTGATACATTCACCTCTGAAGGTAAATAATGTACTAACATTTAGTAATCTTGCTCTGATTTGTCATCCTAAGGGTCCCAGAGATAAAATGTAGCATAGTTTTGTTTGATAAAATAAATTTGTATATTCAAATGTAGGATCTGGGTTCTACAGTTTGAACCCCTGCTGTCTCTGGCTCCACACCCACCCCACCCGGCCATCTAGATGTGTGAAAGTTAGTGTATAAGCTAATGATCCATCATGTATGACATTCCTGGGAGTATGTAAACTTACATTTTGTATTACCATATCATTTTTGTATGTTCTCTATAGTTATGTACTTGAAAATGTATCAATTGACCAATTCGGCACATTTGGGCAGACTTGATACAAAATAGTCCAGTATTGCAATGCTTCACTGGATCAATCTGAAACATTGCACACACACTGCTGCCATCTAATGGCCAAAATCTAAATTGCACCTAAACTGCAATATTATATTGTGGCCTTTCTCTTGCATTTCAAAGATGATGGAATAAAAAAAAAAACGTTTTTTTGTTTGTTTGTATTATCTTTTACCAAATCTAATGTGTTATATTCTCCTACAATCATTTTACATTTCCACAAACTTCAAAGTGTTTCCTTTCCAATGGTATCAAGAATATGCATATCCGTGCTTCAGGTCCTGAGCTACAAGCAGTTAGATTTGGACATGTCATTTTAGGCGAAAATTGGGGGGAAAACAAAGGGTACCATCCTTAAAGAGGTTAAACTAATAACAGATAAATTATTGTATTTTTCTTGTCTATATTGAAAACGTCATTTAAACATTCACAGTGTAGGTTGGGAAAAATGTGAACCCCGTAGGCTAATGACTTCTCCGAAAGCTAATTGGAGGCAGGAGTCAGCTAACCTGGAGTCCAACCAATGAGACGAGATCGGAGATGTTGGTTAGAGCTGCCCTGCCCTATAAAAAAAAAAACTTTCAAAAATGTGAGTTTGCTGTTCACAAGAAGCATTGCCTGATGTGAACCATGCCTCGAACAAAAGAGATCTCAGAAGACCTAAGATTAAGAATGGTTGACTTGCATAAAGCTGGAAAGGGTTTCAAAAGTATCTCTAAAAGCCTTGATGTCCACGGTAAGACAAATTGTCTGTAAATGGAGAAAGTTCAGCACTGTTGCTACTCTCCCTAGGAGCGGCCGTCCTGCAGAGATGACTGCAAGAGCACAGCACAGAACGCTCAACGAGGTTAAGAAGAATCCTAGAGTCAGCTAAAGACTTACAGAAATCTCTGGAACACGCTAACATCTCTGCTGACGAGTCTACGATACGTAAAACACTAAACAAGAATGGTGTTCATGGGAGGACACCACGGAAGAAGACACTGATGCCAAAAAAAACATTGCTGCACGTCTGAAGTTCGCAAAAGAGCACCTGGATGTTCCACAGCGCTACTGGCAAAATATTCTGTGAACAGATGAAACTAAAGTTGAGTTGTTTGGAAGGAAGGAACACACAACACTATGTGTGGAGAAAGAAAGGCACAGCACACCAACATCAAAACCTCATCCCAACTGTAAAGTATGGTGGAGGGAGCATCATGGTTTGGGGCTGCTTTGCTGCCTCAGGGCCTGGACAGCTTGCTATCGTCGACGGAAAAATGAATTCACAAGTTTATCAAGATGCTGTGGCATGACCTCGAGAGAGCGGTTCACACCAGACACATATTGCTGAACTGAAACGGGTTTGTAAAGAGGAATGTTCCAAACTTCCTCCTGACCGTTGTTCAGGTCTGATCTGCAACTACAGAAAACGTTTGGTCGAGGTTATTGCTGCCAAAGGAGGGTCAACCAGTTATTAAATCCAAGGGCTCATATCCTTTTCCCACCATGCACTGTGAATGTTTACACGGTTTGTTCAATAAAGACATGAAAACTTATCATTGTTTGTGTGTTATTAGTTTTAGCACACTGTGGTTGTCTATTGTTTTGACTTAGATCAAGATCAGACCAAATTTTTGACCAATTTATGCAGAAACCCAGGTAATTCCAAAGGGTTCACATACTTTTTCTTGCCACAGTATTTGTTTAGCGGAGATCTGAAGAAAAAAAAGCATCTAACAACACACTCGGCTGTTCTGAAGCAGTCGGTTAATAACAACTGCAACTTTATTAACCTAGCTAGCCAGCCCATAGAGACAGCACTGCAGGTTTTGTAGACTTGAGCTGCAACAGATTTCCACAATGATTTTCACAAATTGCTACAAACATTATTATAACGACAAAATGAAACAAGGCACACCTGTTAATTGAAATGGTCGAGAGAATGCCAAGAGTGTGCAAAGCTGTCATCCAGGCAAAGGGTGAATATTTGAAAATTTTGTTTAACACTTTTTTGGTTACTACATGATTCCATACGTGTTATTTCATAGTTGATGTCTTCACTATTATTCTAGAATGTAAAAAACAGATAGTAAATAAATGAAGAAGAGAGTATGTACCCGCATGGTGTGGAACGAGACATAGTTGATGTTGTGGACCACGCCCAGCAGGCTGTGGCTGTATCCGATGAAGGCCCCGACCAGCAGCAGCACCAGGTGGTATTCATTCAGGCACATCTCAGGACCACTACTACTGTAACCAACACAACAACAGACAGAGATATGGGGAAGTTACAACAAAACCCAAAAAACTTATGAGGACTGTTGTTGTTTTTTTTACTCGTATAGGGGAAAACAAGTAAGAATGTTTCACTAAAGTAAACTTGAGGTCCCCAACCTCAACCGAAATGTTGACCAAATATTATGAATTATTATGAATAAGAGTATTCTTCCATAAATAAGGAATTACTACTCTACAGCCATGAGGTGTATGCAGGAACTAGCCAACCAGGCTAGTAGTTTTACCGGGTCCAACATGTACCAATTGGTATCGAAAGGTACAACACTTCCCTAGCCGGCAGGCTAGTTTGGCGAGTTTTCTACTAGCCCAGTCTGAAAAGTACTAGCCTCGGGCCAGCGGGCTTTCTTAATTTACATCCGTGTGTGTATGGCAGTTAAAAACACGTTGTGTGGTGTCTCACCTCTCATCCTGTGTACAGGGGTGCCCCAAGGCCCGGTAGCGCCCTCCGATGGTGAAGGCACAACACCAAGCCACTACAACACCCATGATACAGTGCGCCAGTGAGTGGACGAACTGACGGGGGTGAAGCACCTGACCTAGGAGGTCGATCTTGGAGCAGGCGATGGATGGGACGACTGGTGGAAATCAATCAATCAAACAATAAATAAAAGAGGGTGAATGCTGGGACTATGTATGTCCCAGGCCATTGGCACCTCCATATACAAAGCCACCTACAGTACAGGGAGAGCATCGTTTTTTTTTTTGTCAGTATTTGTATTTTCAAACGCACTATGTCCTCGCTCCACCCATTGCACCCTGATTCAATCTAAAGAAATGGAGTGCAGCAATCACCTCCGGCTCCTTTCACTCAGAACTGTCATCCCTGGGAGAACCCTTCATTGTCTGACTCACCTGTGTAATACTCCAGGTTGAAGAAGCCCACCAGCAGCACCACTCCACATAGCAGGATGAAGGAGAAGATGGTGCTGGCACTGGTCAGTAGGGACAAGCATTCTGTAAGCAGACAACACTCTTTTATAGGCTGCTTATCAACAGTCTTAGACATACTGAATACCTACGTATAGCCATCTACTGGCACTGGTCAACAGGGGCCAAGCATTCTAGAACGAGGCATTCGAAAAATGTGCTTACCAGCAGTCTCCGACATAACTTTCTTAGCTGGCTACATAGCCAGAGAACGGCCACAGTAAGGGACTGGCTCCTAGCAACAGTAAGGGAAGTTAGTCTGACTGGCTCCTAGCTACAGTAAGGGAAGTTAGTCTGACTGGCTCCTAGCAACAGTAAGGGAAGTTAGTCTGACTGGCTCCTAGCAACAGTAAGGGAAGTTAGTCTGACTGGCTCCTAGCAACAGTAAGGGAAGTTAGTCTGACTGGCTCCTAGCAACAGTAAGGGAAGTTAGTCTGACTGGCTCCTAGCTACAGTAAGGGAAGTTAGTCTGACTGGCTCCTAGCAACAGTAAGGGAAGTTAGTCTGACTGGCTCCTAGCAACAGTAAGGGAAGTTAGTCTGACTGGCTCCTAGCAACAGTAAGGGAAGTTAGTCTGACTGGCTCCTAGCAACAGTAAGGGAAGTTAGTCTGACTGGCTCCTAGCTACAGTAAGGGAAGTTAGTCTGACTGGCTCCTAGCAACAGTAAGGGAAGTTAGTCTGACTGGCTCCTAGCAACAGTAAGGGAAGTTAGTCTGACTGGCTCCTAGCAACAGTAAGGGAAGTTAGTCTGACTGGCTCCTAGCAACAGTAAGGGAAGTTAGTCTGACTGGCTCCTAGCAACAGTAAGGGAAGTTAGTCTGACTGGCTCCTAGCAACAGTAAGGGAAGTTAGTCTGACTGGCTCCTAGCTACAGTAAGGGAAGTTAGTCTGACTGGCTCCTAGCAACAGTAAGGGAAGTTAGTCTGACTGGCTCCTAGCAACAGTAAGGGAAGTTAGTCTGACTGGCTCCTAGCAACAGTAAGGGAAGTTAGTCTGACTGGCTCCTAGCAACAGTAAGGGAAGTTAGTCTGACTGGCTCCTAGCAACAGTAAGGGAAGTTAGTCTGACTGGCTCCTAGCAACAGTAAGGGAAGTTAGTCTGACTGGCTCCTAGCAACAGTAAGGGAAGTTAGTCTGACTGGCTCCTAGCAACAGTAAGGGAAGTTAGTCTGACTGGCTCCTAGCTACAGTAAGGGAAGTTAGTCTGACTGGCTCCTAGCAACAGTAAGGGAAGTTAGTCTGACTGGCTCCTAGCAACAGTAAGGGAAGTTAGTCTGACTGGCTCCTAGCAACAGTAAGGGAAGTTAGTCTGACTGGCTCCTAGCAACAGTAAGGGAAGTTAGTCTGACTGGCTCCTAGCAACAGTAAGGGAAGTTAGTCTGACTGGCTCCTAGCAACAGTAAGGGAAGTTAGTCTGACTGGCTCCTAGCTACAGTAAGGGAAGTTAGTCTGACTGGCTCCTAGCAACAGTAAGGGAAGTTAGTCTGACTGGCTCCTAGCAACAGTAAGGGAAGTTAGTCTGACTGGCTCCTAGCAACAGTAAGGGAAGTTAGTCTGACTGGCTCCTAGCAACAGTAAGGGAAGTTAGTCTGACTGGCTCCTAGCAACAGTAAGGGAAGTTAGTCTGACTGGCTCCTAGCAACAGTAAGGGAAGTTAGTCTGACTGGCTCCTAGCAACAGTAAGGGAAGTTAGTCTGACTGGCTCCTAGCAACAGTAAGGGAAGTTAGTCTGACTGGCTCCTAGCAACAGTAAGGGAAGTTAGTCTGACTGGCTCCTAGCTACAGTAAGCTAATTCAATTTGACATTGTGTACAAGGTGAGTGTATTACATTTACAGTTTAGTCATTTAGCAGACGCTCTTATCCAGAGCGACTTACAGTTAGTGAGTGCATACATGTTTTTTTGTTTGTTTTTGTTTTTGGTCATACTGCCCCCCCCCCCCCCCCCCCGTGGGAAACAAACCCACATCCCTGCCGGCCAAACCCTCCCCTACCTTGGACGACGCTGGACCAATTGCGCGCCGCCCATGGGTCTCCCGGTCGCGGCAGGCTGCGACAGAGCCTGGACTCGAACCAGGATCTCTAGTGGCACAGCTAGCACTGCGATAGAGTGCCTTAGACCACTGCGCCACTCGGGAGTCGAGCTTTGGTTTGTGAGTGTTCTCTTACCTGATATCCAGTGTATAGGGTGAAACAGACTGAATCTGCTGAGAACTACAAACAGAGCTGTTGTGGGAAGCAGTAGCAGGACAGACCAGGCCATACTGGCTACCGCTCGCCAACAGATCACCTGGAAACAACATAATTCATTCAGATACATTACTGCTCTCCAACAGATCACCTGGAAACACCAACATTCATACCAACTTTGCAAATGCAACCACTGACTTTTTCCTCATTTGTGTTGCTCAAACTCAGCGAATGGCATTACGTTTTATTGTTCTAATGACGTTGGTAAGCAGTTTATAATAGCAATAAGACACCCCGGGGGTTTGTGGTATATGGCCAATATACCACGGCTAACAGCTGTATCCAGGCACTCAGCTTTGCATCATGCTTAACAACACGAATTATGCTTCTAATGTAGTTACAAGTTACTATGATATTCCTTCTTAATTGGATCGATAACATTATGGAAAAAGGGTTTATTGTATAAATACTCTTGTTGTGGAAAAAAAAATGGGGCTAGTTTGCAGGCCTTTTGTGCTACTTTTGAGTCGTATGTATTGGAGTAGAAATTGTAGCTTGACCTGGCAACCCTGCTGCTGAAGCCAGACCCTCTGGTCAAAGCTGAATGCTACGTTAACTACTACCTAGCTTACGTGAAAAATGAAAATCTAGCTAGCTTTTCTAACATTTCTGCAATTACAGCCAGCCAGCCAACAACTAGTGTTATTGTTGTTATACTAGCAATAAAATATAGCTACTATATCTAGCTAATGTTACTAGCTAACTAGTTAGTTACTAGCAAGCTACCTACTGTAATTGGATAACATCCACGGGTAGCCAGATTACTAACTAGCTAGCTAACTGTGGTTTAGTCGTTTAAATAGGGCAGTGCTTACCTTACGAACGAACCAACAACTTTGATCCGCAGAAAACATTTTTGTTTCGATAAAGCTTTTGATCTGACTGCAAAAAAAAGTGTTTAAAAAAAATGTGCTAGCTAGTTGTCAAACTCCTAGAGAACATTCCATTCTTGTGCAGTTTCCCATATAGCGCGGCACATGCATTCAAAGGACATGTCAGGACCCCTTTCAAATGTTGTCCAGAGAAACAGAGAGAGAGACAGACAGAGTACAGTATGAAGATAGGCCAAAACTTTATTAAGCGCATGCGTAGAAGAACGTCATCCGGTCTAACGGTCATCCGGCGCCAAACTGCGCATGTGCAGGCCGTCCAATCCAAGGCACTCCATCGGTGTAAAGTTGTTTTTTGACAAGAATTAAAACGTGTCAGTTTGTCATTTTCACGAGGTTGGAGTAATAACATGTTCAACTACTTAAGACATTGGCTCAAATCTCGGTTCTGCCTTTAGATTTCGAGAAAATTAACAATTAATGAATAACGTTTCACTTCTCTCATTGGCTTCTCAAACCCGAAACCCCGGCCTAGTCCGTTTGGTCCGTTTCTGAAGCGTCACCGGAAGTGTCGTGATGTTGCGCTTCTGGGTTTAGAAACTCTGTGGTCTGTGCCATAAAAATGAGGTGGTGGGCAGAAGCTGAAAACGTGAAGTTGATCAATCCCCGTCGAGGGAGGAGCTGACGTTTTGTATATGGCAGTACAACATTCTTATGATGACTATAAAATTTGTTGGCACCTTAATTTCTTGCACCTTTTCTCATAAAAAGTATATTTCAACACCTTGTCTGCTCAGGCAAATTCGCCGAACTGCTAAACTTGGAACCAATCAGAACTCCCTTACATACCCCTCGTGATGAAGGCAGCCAATGGCTGTAGGATGTAAACACAGCCTCAAATTAACACTCGAGCTGCTTACTGGGAGGTGATACATATGGAGTGTGCGACTCTCTTTGTATTTATAGCTTACAGTGAATCATGTTTCGGTATGATTATATGTCTCATTTTAAGTAACTAGCTGCAGGCATAAAGAAACATTAAATCATATACTTTGCATAGAAACCCAAATAAAAGCATGTAGATTTGAATGATGTATGCTAGAATGGAGGTTTAAAAACGACAGCAGCATATGCATATTAGCCAACAAAGCATAGCCTACACATACAGCATACCTTGCAATATAATCATCTCTAAAAACAGTTGTACAATGTGCTCTGCAAAAAAACCCAGATGAGTTATCCAATAGCAGCTGCCCAATACAATGGTGGGCATAATGTTGGATGCATTTTCACATTTACATTTTACATTTACGTCATTTAGCAGACGCTCTTATCCAGAGCGACTTACAAATAGGTGCATTCACCTTATAGCCAGTGGGATAACCACTTTACAATTTATTTATTTAAAATGTTTGTTTTTTTTGGGGGGGGGGGGGGGGGGGGGGGGGGGGGGGGGGGGGGGGGGGGGGGGTTGGGGTAAGGGGGGGGTAGAAGGATTACTTTGTCCTATCCCAGGTATTCCTTAAAGAGGTGGGGTTTAAAATGTCTCCGGAAGGTGGTGAGTGACTCCGCTGTCCTGGCGTCGTGAGGGAGCTTGTTCCACCATTGGGGTGCCAGAGCAGCGAACAGTTTTGACTGGGCTGAGCGGGAACTATGCTTCCGCAGAGGTAGGGGAGCCAGCAGGCCAGAGGTGGATGAACGCAATGCCCTCGTTTGGGTGTAGGGACTGATCAGAGCCTGAAGGTACGGAGGTGCCGTTCCCCTCACAGCTCCGTAGGCAAGCACCATGGTCTTGTAGCAGATGCGAGCTTCAACTGGAAGCCAGTGGAGTGTGCGGAGGAGCGGGGTGACGTGAGAGAACTTGGGAAGGTTGAACACCAGACGGGCTGCGGCATTCTGGATGAGTTGTAGGGGTTTAATGGCACAGGCAGGGAGCCCAGCCAACAGCGAGTTGCAGTAATCCAGACGGGAGATGACAAGTGCCTGGATTAGGACCTGTGCCGCTTCCTGTGTAAGGCAGGGTCGTACTCTCCGAATGTTGTAGAGCATGAACCTACAGGATCGGGTCACCGCCTTGATGTTAGCGGAGACCGACAGGGTGT